CCTGTACATTCATGATTTCTATTTTAGGTCCAATAATTATGTTCAAAGAGGAGCAAACTGAGATCTTATTAAAGCTTATTAGATCAGCAGAGTTTATTTTGGTTTATCTTGCTGACTTTTTGTGTGTATACTTAACAAACTGCAGCCTTAAACACACACACACGCACACACACACACACACACACACACACGGTATCCATAACTGCAATGCTTATAATAACCACACACTGCAGTGTGTATGTGGGTCAGTTACTGTGTGAGGGCATGCCAGTGTATGTGTGTGTGTGTTTTAAGGCTGTAATTTGCAATTTGTCACTTCCTGTGTGAGTGTGAACCTGCTCTACATTACTGCAATCCAAAGATTTCTCATATACAACTACGTTTCTTTTAGTTTAAGATAAACCTAACCCTCTAGGTGAGATTCTAATCCTAATCCTAATCTCAAGAGAAAATCTCTGAAGTGTAAATGTTTAAACCAATCTAACTGGCTGTTACAGATCACTGTTTCTCTTTAAAGCTTATTTTCATTAGCATTAACAGGTGATCTTCAATGGCATCCAAGATTTATTATTATAATGAAATTCTGAGCTTTTTTGTTTAAACTTTGTTCATCGACAAATTGGTCTATATTCATTTTGGTTAACGGTTTCTTACATTGCCTACATTCCTACAATGCAGATTGACTACCTAGTCGAGAGTGATGCAGCAGCGCTTTAGTCCTTTCGTCTGTCCAGCTCTCTCACCTCATTTGTACACTCTGCTTAAACAGATCAAATCCTCAACTATAATGCTAATACTGCTGTCAATGTCATCATGCTCGGCATCCTGTAGATCGCTAACTAGTGAGCTGAATCTCTGCCATAATTCACTGTAACTGCGTCGTATACAGTAGCTGCATTGCATTCTGGAACTTTGAGTCCAAGATTTGCTCCATTTGCTGTCTCCACTACTCCACTTCTCCACTAAACACATCATAAATATTTCAATATAAACATATTTAATGTGTTTCCTTTAAATCGCAAAACCAAATTGCATTAATAAGTCTGATCTAGTTGTCCCCTGCAGGATGAGACAGGATGAGCTGTCTCTGTTGATGACGCTGTACTTTGCTGTTTAACAGAACCTCCAGAAATCTCATTAGCTCTCGCTTAATTCGTAGGGCTCTGGTTATTTGACAGAAGTGGTGAAAAAACGGAGCAGTAATATTGATATAATCACAGACCTGTATCCTGCCACGCCCATCCTGCTAACAAGCCCGCAATCCTAATGCATTCTGGGTAATTAATCCTTCACAAAGTCTGAGTGTCACCTGTGAGGTCATTGATATTTTCCCTGCCAATTGTCTACTTATTAAAATGCTGAGCACCGAAAGTCCCATCACCTCCGAATCGCTCTCATTATAGTCTCCTTTTAATGTTGAATGATTTTTCGCCTTGCAAGCCTAGGGGAAACAAAGAGACGCCATTAAGGAGGCTGTTTTTAAAATGGAGAAAGGATTTTCATTTATTCTGGAGTTTTACCACAGGCTTTTCAGGGGCGTCGGGGACTCATTAGTGAAGCTGGACACACACACACACACACACAGAGTGAGAGAAAGGGAGCAGAGACATTACACTGTTACATATAAACTATGAGGTCTGACTCAGGGCAAAAGCTCAGAGCTTAATGAGACATTATGATCCTTTATCATAGGCATTACCTGCGTGGGTTCTCTCACTGATTAAAAAAAATATCAGTCAGTTTTGGTCACATGACGATCCAACTTTAGAAACTTAAAAACAAAGGAAATTAACACTTCCCAATCTATGAGATTTAAAATACAATTATTTCCTGCTGAGGTACAAAATATAATGATCAGGGCTGACTGGTACAAAAGGGCTAGCCTGTATTACAAGTAAAAAAATGCATAAAAATAAGGCTTAATTTCTGGCATTGTCTTACTTGCTGCTAACAAATGGTTTAAAGTGGATGTTTTTTTTTACTTTTGTGCAACCAAAAAAATTTCTTTCTAGCCACAGACTGTAAATTCACACAGGCTATATCTGACGGTGGAGTCAAGGCTAATTTTATTTAAGTCCACGTCGCTGTCACAGGTGTAATAAACGTGAGTGTGTTGGATTGCTTTCCCAATAGTGAGATGATTATGATTAGCTTATACATGATCATAATATGATCATGACATTTTATATTGCTGATCCAATGTGAAAAGCAGACAGAGACACCATACAGAGTCTTCTCTGTCCTGGCACTCAGCTGGTGAATGAACTTCTGCCCAACAGCTAAGTCAGCTAAGAACCTGAAGACCTACTTCTTCACCAAACACTTAAATGAGCCCTAAACCTACACTGAATTTTCAGGAAGGAAGGAATGAAAGAAGTGTGTTTTTTATATAGTTGTGCTTGTGGGTCACACTAACCCCTCTCTAAGAGGTTTCGGCTTGCAGGTATTGTAACACCCTGACCTATTTGTACTAGTATGAGGATAGTTTCCATGGAGACCAAAAAGCACTTCTGTAAGTCGCTCTGCATAAGGGTGTCTGCAAAATGTTGTAAATGTAAATGAAAACAGCTTTGAATATATATCATTTTTAAATGCGTTTTCATTTTTCATTAGCAGGGGCTGCATGATGGTGCGAACCTGGAACCTGAGCTCAGGGTACTGTCTGTGTGGAGTTTTCCATGTTCTACCTGTGTCCGTTTTGGTTTCCGGGTTTCTCCGGTTTCCTCCTAATACTTTAAAAGATGGTTGTATGTGGATTGGCTATGCTAAATTACCCCCAGGTGTGTGTGCACAAGCATCTCATCCATGATGTATTCCTACCCAATGCCTAGCGTTCCCGGGATAGGCTCTTAGGCTCTGAATCCATCCATACCCTGAACTGGATTAAGTTACTGAAGATGAATGAATGAATGAATGAATGAATGAATGAATGAAGGAAGGAAGGAAGGAAGGAAGGAAGGACGGAAAGAAGGAACAAACACTTTAACAACTGCAAATCCTCATATGGCTGCTGTGGGCAATGATTAAAAGCACAAAAATGGTGAAGAAACAGATAACAACTTGCAAGAGCAACCTGGGAATGCTGGGATCATAACCTTCTTATTAGTAGCCTTTAACCACTGAAACACCTCAGTATTTTGTGTGAAACAGGAGCTCTTTTTTTTTAACCATGTCTCAGCTTCTCTTATCCTTCTTTGTGTCCCACTTTCCTTCTGTATCTGGCTCCCTTTCCTTCTCTAAATCCCATGCTCTCTCTCTCACTCACACGCTCAGCGTGAGGAGTGTTTTCTCAGAGAAACTGCAGGCGGCCTGTCAGTAATTGCAGATCAATTCTCAGGGTGGCTGCTCGCTGGATTGAGCTGTTACAGAAAAAAAAATCGTCTCTTTCAGGGAACATGGTGTGTGTTCCAATCTGCCTGAACGCCAGAGAAGCTGAAAGTCATTCACTGTCAGGATTAATGGAAGAGAATCCGTGAGAGCTAATGAAGCTAAACGAAATGTTACTTAGCAAGGATGAGTGTGTGAATGTGTGTATAATAGGGATATAACCCCATCAAATTCACTATTCAGGTAACAGGTAATGTGTTCTGAATAGATACAAATACAGGCACTATTCTTTTTTTTTTCATTAGAAAGCTTGCCAGAAAGCAGAAACATTGATATGATATTTCATCGTTTTATAGAAAATCTGAAATTGAGCTCAGGTGAATTATTGATGAATTATTGATGGCAGAGGCAACAATGATAAAGAAAAACAATGATAAAGAAAAACTCCCTGAGAAGTGACATGAGGAGGAAACCTTGAGAGGAACCAGATTCAAAAGGGAACCTGTCCTCTTTTGTGTGACAGCAGATAGTAAGATTATAAGTAATTACTCTTCTGTATACTGTAAAGTATATTCAGTATGAGCAGATTGTGACTAAGAGAATAAGAGAATAATGAGAACGTGACAGTCTTTATAATTACAGCAGCAGTTCTCAGGTGATCATATAATATAATATAAAAACCATACCATATAATCATACCATATAATAATAAAGCCCTTGTGAAGAAAATATATATTAACTTCAAGTCATTTTTCTAAAATTCCATCAATAATGAACAAAAACGTTAGCCCTTGTCCTCTTATATCCACTCAGAAGCAGATGGCCTGAGTTTGTGTGTGTGTGTGTGTGAGAGAGAGAGAGAGAGAGAGAGCGAGAGACTAAGACACTAAACACTCAGTACCAGGTTTAAAAGGACATTTCATTAATATCTGCCATGACAAAACTCATCACATCTCCAGTCAGGTGAACTGAGGAGGACATCCAGCTTTTCTCTGCTGGATAAGCAGATGTCTGAGAGCAGCTCTTTCTCTCTGTCTCTCGCTTTGTGTGTCTCATTTTCTTGCTCTTAAACTCTACAGCAGACCAACACCATCTTTTACCCCAGACCTCCTCCTCAAAACCTCAGTAATCGCTACTGCAGTAATGCACTAAAATAACCCAAACATAAGCGATAACTTGATGCTGCGTGTATCATTTCCATACAGCAGCTCATTGTACAAACCTAAATTGAGTTTTTACACTTTGCGCCTCAATAAAAAAATGTAGTTCTGAAGAGATGACTGCAAATCCAATCAGTCTTAATGGGCGCACAGATCAGCTATTATCCCGTATAAGCTGTTTATTTAGCTCTTTTTGTCTCCCATCTGCTATAACAGTGTGTTGTGCCTCTCGTGATTTGTCGTATGATGCAATTCACTCTCTCAAAGCATACACAGTGGTGGGATAACGGAATTGCACACTCCAGAATTATTGCCACCCTTCCTAAAATTTAGCAAAGATAAATATGTCACTGTTCTTTCAGCTGCTCCTGTTAGGGGTTGCCACAGTGGATCACTGGCCCGCATGTTTGATTTGGCACAGGTTTTACACCAGATGCACTTCCTGACACAACCCTCCCATTTTATGCAGGCTTGGGACCAGCACTGAGAGGACATTCCCAGCGGCTGGGTTGATTCCCTGCCCAGGAATTGAACCTGGGCTGTGGCACTGACAGCACAGGATCCTTAGCCGCTAGACCAGCAGGGACTCTTTAGCAAAGATAAATATTTAAAATAGAATAAAATATGCAATGACACACAAGAGGATGATATATAGACCGTTGCAAATGAATATTCATGAGTGCAGGAAGTGATGTTGCTGTTCCTAGGACATATCAGGTTGGCAGTAAACAGCATTCAAAACAACAGTGAAGGACCATAATTTACATCTGGTAGGTTGATTTAAGGCCAAAATTAAAATTAGGACTACACTGTTCTGTTGTCAGATATTATCTCAGGTCACTGATGAGGCATTTAAGCCTTCCCTTTCATATTGTTCCACAGCCGCAAGAATTACAGCAACATAACTGCAAACCGAGCCTAATATGATAATCAGAGATATTTAAAACCAGAGGCCAATACGAACTGCATGTTGTTCGTTGTTAACTGGTGAATACTGAGCTGTGTAATGCATTCATTTGCCAAACAAGAAAGCTAACCAATTAGCTAGCTAACTCACCCAGCCATACATGTACAGGGTCTACTCTTCTATCAATAAACCATGCTGAGTATGTTTTAGACAGCGTTTGACTTGTTCCAAGTATACAATACACAAAACAGATGCCATCCTCATTATAGAAGCAAATATTTCACACCTTTCCTCTAAGAATGTAGATGTAAGCTTCCAAACTATGATACAGTGTCAGCACTTCTCTGGTGTAAACACACTCCGTATCAACAAAGTAATGATACACACCAGGGTAAGTCATAAGTTTTAAGTCTGTAGGAAAAAAAAAACTGTTCCTTGTTTAAAGGATCTAGTAATCACAAACCATTGTTTATTGTTCATTTCTATATGTACACGGATCTCGTTTGTTCGTTTCTCTGGAGATTCATTAACTGCAAGCTAATCATTTTCTTGATAGCTTTGTATTTAAAAATGGCGCAACCGGAAACGTTTTAGAAAAGGACATGCTCCTTCAACAAAGTAACTTTGTTATTGTTTTTCTCATTGAAACAGTCTATAGTTATATAACGGTCTATAGTACCAATACTTTTTCACATACAAGATTGATTCGTAAGTAGTGCATAAACAATACTTAGTCTTTTCTTTGCAAAAACACGGTTTTCAAAACTAATGGCACCCCATAATTAATATCAGATGAAGTGTTATTTGGAGCTTGTTCCTGTAGCATCTAACAAGGTTTGATACGGTTGCAGAGGATCTTGGGCTCTCCCCTACATAGAACATTTTAAACTTTGTTATATTCTTAGATTTGTGCACATGTATTATTGTCTTTAATGCAAATCTACTAATAAATATCCAAAACTAATAGAATTCTTTTAAAATTGACAATTATTTGCATTCAATTTATCTTTTTGGGGTGTCAGTAATTTCATCACATATACTTTAAGTGAAATTGCTACCATTTTAAAAAATTGTATGAGAATAAGTAAATAAAAGTAAGTGAATAATTAAGTAAGTAATTTATCCTATTGTGTGAGTGGAAATTTTGAATCATTCTGTGTCATGTTTTCATGAACGGTGTTAATATTTCTGTCATTGACTGTACATTCACATTTATTTGTTTAGAAAGATTTCAGAGCCACACAAGAACACATACAGTCAATGATACACCTGCAAATACCGTGTTAGATGTTCAGTGTCACCAAGCTTCATTTGTTTAAGTGTTAGATTAACATAAGTACTATGTCGAATTAGCAAGAGTCAGTAGTCATGTAAGGAGTAAAACATGTGAGGGTGTGCTGTTATAGGAAAATAATCAATAGGTCAGTGGGATGCAAAGCGGACTACCCAAAAGTTGATTAATTTCCTATAAAAGCATTTCTTGGGGTGTTTTATTCCACTTATATCACAGCGATTTACCATAGCTAACTGTTATTTATTTATGAAAGAGTCATACATATTATTCATTTATAGTTATGTTTATTGTTGTGAGATGTCAGTGAGACAATAACGGATCCTGTTATCACCTATAAATGGCCGTTCCTTCACCAAAGCACAAACTTCTGTCTTGAAGAAGTTCCCAGGTCAGAAAACAAAGTTACATGGTGGTCAGGACACCATGCTTTTGTTTTCAATAAAAATTCCATTTATATTATTTTATATTATACATTATTATTGTAATATTATACATTGTGATCAAGTATTTGGTAATGATCATGATATGTAAATATAATATTGGAACATGGTCAGCTGTCAGGTAAAGCCAGTATTCATTTTGCTAACATCTAAATACAACTCTCATAAGGACATATCAGATCACAGCTCAATGAACAGTCTGACCAGAATTCAGATCTTCATCTTTGTGTGTGTGTGTGTGTTTCTAGTTCTTTTTGCATGACCGAGTGAGAGTCAAGAGCTTTGACCTGTCTCTAAACTGGCTGCTTTTCCCAAATGTCTCCAGGAGAGGAAACAGTGGAGATTATCTCTTGCTGTTAGCATAATGAATGCACACTCACTCCTCCGCTGTCTTCGGCTCTGACAGGACATTGACCGAAATGTCATTTACCAAGCGGCTACATGTCGATGAGAGTGTGCGATTGAATGTAGCACTGCACTTTCAGCTTGAATTTCTTGGACTTTTTCACATGCTAAGACTAAAGTGATGAAAGAGGGGAATTAAGGTAATGTTAAAGAAAATGAAAAGTGTGAGAGAGGAACAATATTGGACAATGCTAGCACTAGATAATTTACCGGTTATTCATAAATATGGTGTCATGACTAACCATTATAGGTTAGCAGAAGGTTTTTTGAATGTTACAGTTCTGGGAACTTTATTCATTTATCTTCAGTAAGTGCTTTATCCTGGTTAGAGTGGTGATTCCAGAGTCTATCCCAGGAACACTGGGCGTGATCCGGGAATACACCCTGGATGGAACGCCTGTCTAACACAGGGCACCATGCACACACTCATTCACACCTTCAGGAACTAAAGCGTAGCCAGTGCACTGACTGAAATGTTTTTGGGAGGTGGGAGAACTAGAGAAACCAGAGGAAACCCACACAGACAAGGGGACAATAAGTGAAACTCCACACAGACAGTAACCCAAGCTCAGGATCAAACCAGGAAGCACAGAGCTGTGAGATGGCAATGTTACCCGCAGCTCATCATCTTGACCTCTAAGAACTTTTTTTAAATTCAATCTATAAGTTTAGGTGTTTTTGAGAGAGTTTTTATTACTCCTAAAACCCTGCTGCAACATTTTAGTTGTCGGAATGTTAAAATAAGTGTTTGCATCATTTTTGTTTTTGTCGAACTGGGAATGTTGTGTGAGCAATGCTACACAACATTCAACGTAGCTTCTAGTAGCATTATGAAGCAAACTGTTATTACAGCAAATGCTTTAGAACATTGCAGTTCTAAAAAAAATATTTATTTATAATATATGGGACTCAGACACAGAATGAGGTGTATTAGAAATTATAGCAAACAAAGTTTAAATATAATTCGAAAGCAAGGCCAAAAGGCAGGTGATGGTCATTCATTGTCTAGTCGATACATGTACACAACATGGGTTAATCCAAATAACGAAGCGAATGTGCAATGAACAATAAGTCAGTCAGCTTAGAACAAAGTCTCAGAACTTACTCAATGTAAAAGGGATCACAAGATTTGGGTTTCCTAGATGATTCCATAAGGCTTCTAGCACTTTTGGGTGAATTTAATTTACACAAAGCAAGAAAAACCTCCTTCAAACCTAATCTTAGCTTATTTATGGCAGACTTATGTAAAGCGCCTTTATGAATCATTGCATAGCCTCAAATCCAACAAGAAAGCTGCAAAGACATTTCTTTTCTTAGATAAGATCATTGGGAATTTTGAATGATTAGAAAATTTAGCTATTGTCATCTGAGGGATTATCTAAGTTTGTTTTATGTCTCTCTTTTCTTTTTCCCCTTGTACTTGTCTAAAAATAGCCATTCATGTATGCATAGTTTGATATGCTTATTGCATCACTGAACCAAAAGCAATTAAAAAACAAGAGACAAACCAAGCCAAAAAAAAGTAGTACTTGCCAGAGGTCATGCTAGTGTTCCTGGTATGCAGCCTCTTCTGGTGGGGAGGGGAAATGTCCTGGGTCTGTGTTACATAAATAGTGAATACTGAATACTGTCAGGCCATGTACTGTATAACAGCAAGTGATCACAAAATAAATTTAAGGCAGGAGTTATATATGAAGCTCTGAGCAGATCTGTGATTTGTGTACACTTCTGATGCACAATGGGAGACATCGATTATGTACTTACAAATCACCAAAAACAGACAAGAAAAATATACTCTGAGCCTGAACTGAATTGTAATGAGACAGAACTGAAAGTGTTAAGAGCAAAGGCAGACCTACTTCAGAGCTGTACTGTATTTCACTGACATGTTAGAAATTTGGAAATTTCACTTCCACCTATGAGGAGACTTGACAAATCCCTCCATTGTGTTGGGTTTAATGCAGGAGTCTGAAATCCTCTTACTTTGAAAAGCACAGAGTTTCTCCACCTTGAGAGCTTCGGCCATCACAAATCTTCCATTTCTAAGATGAAAGACTATCAGAAGCTAGCCAGCCTGATTCTGAGCAGCTGAAATGACCAAAGCTCTGGTGACTAATGGCTGAGATCAAAAACCTATAAAATGCATATAGACATCTAAGAAGGACCTGAACTTGGGAACTGTGATAAAATATGACTATTTATGCTTTTATGAGAAAGATTTCTGTTGCTGAAATGTTTTATACATGGTGGAGATATAAATAGACACTTGGGCTTGGGTCTGTGTGGAGTTACACATGTTTTTCCCATGTCTGTAGTTTTCCTCTGGAATCTCTGGTTTCCTTTCACCTGTCAAAACTTTCCAGTAGGTGGACTGGCAATGCTAAATTGCCCCTAGTGGTGAATGAGTGTGTGAATGTGTGTGTGAGCACTTACTGAAGATGAATAAATGAACTGGTGTAAGTGTTGACACAATAACACCCAGAAGTTCAGAAACAGCAACAAAACAGTTCCCCTTCAGGAACTCGAGCTGCGTCGAAACG